CTGGCCTTGAACTCACAGAGATCCACCTGCCTCTGCCTCCCAAGTGCTAGCTCAGTCTGGTGTGGTGGTGGTGCACACCTTTAATCCCAGTACTTGGGAGGCAGAGGCAAGCCAATCTCTTTGAAATCAAAGCCAACCTAGTCTACATAGCTAGAAGCAGAACCAGGGCCGTGGCATCTTTTTCACTGTTTCTAATAATTCTCCTGGAAGCTTAAATTGATCTGGAAAAGGTCATAGCTAGATTAAAATTAGAAAACTAAGCCTGGCATGGTGGTGAACACAGAGGCAGGCGGATCTCTGTGACATTGAAGCCAACCTAGTCTACATAGTGAGTTCCAGAGCAGCTGGGGCTACAGGGAGACCCTATCTCCAAAAGACAAAAAAATAAATTAAATAAAATAAAAAATAGAAAGCTCTTAATATCAACTAGTTGCTAAGTATTTTATTTAAAGTGATTTCTTACTGTTTTTCTTATTGTTATAACTGTTTTCTGTAAAGGGTAACATAAGGAAAAAAGTAAAAACTAGGAACGATCATAATGAAAATGCCTTAATCTATCCATGATTGCTCTTGAAGGCTCCTGTTTCTCCTGCCTTCTGCCAATCCATACTAATTCTTTTTTTTTAATCCATACTAATTCTTACAACTGATGGAAACTTCTTTTATCATAAATATACGATATGACTTCCTTTTATCTCTTCTACCTCATCTGCACTCTTTGATTCCTGTTTTCAATCCCTACTCCTATTATCACCAAACACTGTGCCCAGGTATACGAGTTTCTTCAGCTCTCCAAGTATGGTTGTACCACACTCTTTCTCAGGTTGGGCCATTTCCCTTAGCTAATTTCTGTTCATCTGGGGGACCTCTGTTAATATATTACTTCTCCATGAAAACCTAACTTAGTCATCAAGACTGAGCTCCCAGTATACCTGCCTGTCTTTAATTACACACTATTATCCTTCCTTGCTTTATTTGTATCATTACACCTAAGCTTCAAGCATTCAACACCTTGTTCATTTTTGTTCCAAGTCAATTGCCACACTTCCTGATGCAAGATAGATGATTAGTAAATATGTCCACATTATTAAGAGCATGAAATACAGTAAAATGCTTTGCCCTAATGTCTGTATTATGTTACTGAATAAACTCACTTTCCCCCCCGGATAAAAATCTAGGTTATATTAATAGAAAACAAGGAATTATCATTAATCCGTGCCAAGAAGAGAAGTGATGAACTAGGTTTAACCAACATTTGGTTCATTCAAGCAAATATGGAATATTTTACAGGAATGTTTAACATTGGGGTAAGTAATCAAGTAATTTCAGTTTCTCTGATTAGCTAAATGATAATTATAGAGCTTAGAGTAAATAGATATGTTTTGTTCTTTCCTACATGAAGAAATGTATTCTATACTTTACCTATTAGGACTAGCATATTAATGAATATTGCTCCATGTACATCCCTGTCCCGTTACATGACATCGGTTCCTCCATTAGACAAAAGCCTTATCTGCTGCACTAGGAAATCTCACTGCTGAGAACAATGTGCGATGCAGGAAATGCCTTAAAATGTTATTAACTGAATGAGTGACTTCCGATGACAATGGCTTAACTTTGGTTCAGTCTGTAGTTTGGGAAAACAGTGGAAGAAGACAAAACAAAAACATTGTGAAGAGAGCTAGAGAGATGGCTCAGCAGTTAAGAGCACTGACTGCTCTTGTAAAGGACCTGGGTTTGATTCCCAGCACTGACACAGCAGCTAACAATCATCCATAACTCTAGTTCCAGGGAATCCGACGCCTGCTTCTAAGCTCCGAAGCCATTGCATGACACTAGTATACTCTCACATGTAGATAATACAGTCATATACATAAAAAAATAATAACTTTTTAAAAGTTATGAAAAATATAAGGGGAAAATAACTTGTTACTGGCCTATAAATACTAAAATTGCCTTTAGCTAATATTTTCTTTAGCAGAGATTTGATATCTGCATGTCATTTTGAGCTTCTGAGTATTGCAGTTATGCTTCTGAGTCCTTAGATCAAGTTACTGCTATTTGATATTAGTAAGACTACCTAAGAGGGCAGCTCGTAGTGTGCTTAATCTTCATATTCTGGGCTCTTTTGTGGAATTTGCGCTTCATTAAGATCTAGCATCTTACTGGGTATGGAGATACACACCTTTAAACCTTTAGTCCCAGCAATCAGGAGACAGAGGTCTACATAATAAGTTCTAGGCCAGCTGGGGCTACAAGGAGACCGTGTCTCAAAACAAAAAAACAACAAACAACAACAAAATCTAACATCTTTCTGATATGCCTATTTGTTTTAAATTTAATAGATATATATGCTCAATATAGATAAATACCTTATATTTTGAAGAAGCAATCTCTCATATGCTTACTGTTAAGAAATAAATATTATAAAAGCCTTTGGTTCTTTATATCTTTATACATACATACAAATGCCTATTTATGATATACTAAAGTTGGGGATCCCGTATAACATAGCTCCTTCTCTGACTGAACATTGCCATAAATCTTTTTCCTAATTAATCACATTTTTTCTTACTGTTTTAACTATAACCATGACAGATCTTTCTGTTTTTTAAGAATGTTGGTACATTGCCCATGGTCCTTTTCCCCTCCACACTGTGTGTCTTCATGTTAGCACAAGCTTGTCCAAGTGGAACTGTTGTCCAACTTTGGGAACTCAGAATTTTTGTGGAATTTTTGTAATATAGTTTATTTCTAAACATTGACTATTACAAATGTTGAAGATTTGGTTTTTTAAGCTACAAAATAATCAATTTGTGTCCTTTGTAGATATAATAAGCTTAAGGCAGCAAAGATTGTTGTCCATGTACTCACCTTTCAAAACAAAATTTCTATCCTCATTAATCACATTTCCGATTGTCCTTTGTGGCTTATGGGTGTGAAGTCACTCATGGTATATTTACAACTCTCAAGTTCATAAACCATCAACACCAATTAAAATGTCCTGCTCAGTATTTTTCTGCATATTTCATAGTAATATAGCTATCATGGATTTTTCCCCTCCATCATTACTTTGACTCCCCCTGTATGCTGTTTGATATTCTTGTTGATTAGTTTTACTGTTTTTAAAATCACCCACATCTAATATACTATTTTATATTCATAACCATATAAGCAACATAGAAATAAATATGTTAAAATAATTCCTAACAAATTTTTTTATGTAACACATGGATACATGGTTCTTGATTTTTATGGGCTTACATCCTGATAAATCTATAATAAATTGAGACTAGCATAAGTAGACAATGCATAAAATACACTAAATCAACTTAATATCATAGGTTAGTTATACCATACCCTGTGGGGGGTTGTCTGCCCTGTGATGACTTGGCTGAATGAACCTGAGCTGGACTTCTGCCCAGCACCATAATACGGATTATCACACATACTGTCAGCCCAGGGAAAGGCCAAGTTTGAAATATGGTGTTTACTGATTTTGTATTATGTTTGTATTGTCATAGGTTTTTTTTAATCATAAATGGAGCAATTGTTAGTCAAGGATTATAACATTTCTTTCAAAACAAATGTTTATTATTGGAATACCTTTTTATTTATTCTGGTTTTTATTTTAATGCTTAATATTGTCATGAGGAAAACATAATTCTTTTCAAAAGTAAGAAATATCCATAAGGGGCTGGAGAAATGGCTTAGCAGTTAAGAACACTGGCTGTTCTTGCAGAAGACCTGGGTTCGAATCCCAGCACCCACATGGCAGCTAATAATCCAACAGTCTCTTCTGGTCCTCTGCGGGCATTGCATGACACAGATGCACTTACCTACATGCAGTCAATATATACATACACATAAAAATAATAAAAATAAAATATTAAAAAGAGAAACATCTGTAAAAAGATTTTAGTGTTTTATTTTTTAATCATTTAGTATTGACCCTGATTTAAGTAAGTATTGATTACCATACCTTGAAAGGATGCTTTTTAAAAGTATATTTGTAATGCTATTTTTAAAAAGAGGATCATTATTGCCCTTTTTCTGGCTGGATAAATAATTCTCTTTTTTTATTTTTTTGGTCTCCCTGTAGTCCCAGCTGGCCTGAACTCACTATGTAGACTAGGCTGACCTTGATCTCACAGAGATCCACCTGCTTCTGCCTCCAGAGTGCTGAGACTAAAGGCATGTGCAACCACACCCAACTGGACAAATAATTCTTACTGTTGCATCTTTGAGACATTTTATTATGTATATTTGTATTCATACTCTCAAAAAATATGCACAATCCTTCCTCATGTAAGAGCCATGTCTACAGAAAATTCACACTTTCATTGAAAATAAAAAAGCTAATCAGGATGCTCACCAAAATGGTGCGGTTGGATAATTCCAGCAAGAGCAAACAGCCGTCTTAACCAGGTCCTGATTGCTAACAACATTGGTAAATATTTTTCATTTGCCATTGTGTATTGAAATCCTAAAAGTTTTATTTTCAGATTACTTCTTTTTGTTTTTTTCTACTTTATTCATAATTATATTAAGATTGTTAATGACTTATCAAGGCTGAGTGTTTAATTACAAGCTCATTTCTAGTTGTGTCTCTTTGTGTACAAGTAAAAGAAGCATTTGCAATTTTATATGGGAATTCAGTATTACGTTTGATGAGTAATTATATAATCCTTGCTTTAAAGGTAGGGAACTGGACGAATTATGTGTTCTACAAACATAATTTCAAAATAATTAAGGCAAAATAAAGGACTTCCGATATGAAAATGGCATGTAGAGGCATTTCAACCCCTTTTCTCATCAAGAAAGATTAAACTTCCAAAAATAAGAATAAGAATGAAAAAGGTCAAATTTCATTTTTGATGAAAATATCTTCAAGAGTCTATAATTTGAATCACAAAATAAAGTATAAAGGTAGAAAGATTAAAGAAAAATGGTAAGTTATAGGAGGAAGATCAAACTTAGAGGGGTAGAGGGTAACCTTTTCAAATCAGAAAGGTTGATCAGGAAGCGGGTAATTTCAGGATTACAGAAACCTCAGGGTCAGAGGATAAGGAGGAGTTAAAAATCATATTTATTTTAAAATGTCATTTCGAGCCCCAAATTCCCACCTCTAGCTTTGAATAGGCAACTAGCTACCCATTCCCAACTCCTGCAAAAGACAGGAAGTTTATTCTATGAAAAACATTCCTTCCTCCATCTGCCTCCTAATTCTAGAACTTCAGAGGCCAAAATCCTTTTCTCAATCAACATGGCTTAAATTTTTTCTGTGGAAGCAAGCCATCCCCAGAGAAAAGAACTAAAGATATTATAGTTGTAATTAAAAAGCAAAGCAAGCCAGCTGACCATTCAGTCACCTAATAATTATTAGCCTTCTAGCCTTCAATTAAGAGCGTTCAATAGACTTTTTGACAATTCACTCTTTAATATGAACTGACAGCCAAGAAAAAACAAAAATGGAAAACATCCAAAATTAAAGATAGAAAACAAAGCAGCAAACATTACAGAGGATCTTAGTCAGGGAAAGAGAATTGAAAGAAAAAGAAATGAATGATCAGAGAGTAAGAAAGGATTTCTGGAAATTAAAAAACTTGACACCCAAAATAAAATAGAAAAATTTAAAGGTAACACTTTACCAAAAAAAATGAAACCTAAGATATCACATGAGCAGACTGGAGAAATAGATGGGTCAGTGGATAAGCGCACTGGCTGCTCTTGCAGAGCACCTAGGTTCTGTTCCCAACACATGGCAGCTAACAACCGTCTGTAACTCCAGTTCCAGGGGATACAGCACCCTCTTCTGACATCCATGGACATTGCATGACATGGGTGCACTTATATACATACAGATAATACACTCATACACATAAAATTAAAATAATAAATTTTTAAAATGCATCTTTAAGAAGCTATTGCATGAAAAAATAATAAAGAAAAGACAAAATCTGAAAAGGAAACTATTAGAAAAGGAAATTAGAGGTTCAGTCTAAGAATTCAGTACTTTACTAATAGCAGGACCAGAAAGAGAAGACAAATAAAGTTGTAGAAAGGAAAATACTGGATAACTCATTTAAGAAGAAAATGTATTCAGATTCTTGGGCCTTTTCTTTATATTTAGGAGCTTGTTATATATTAGAGATGTTAAAAGTTTACAAGTTGTGTCTTTTTCCTATTTTTTCATTTGTCTCCTTACTTTTTTTGCCCTTCAAATGTTTTTCTAAAGTTTTTCTGGTTGATTAACTCTATCCCTTATTGTATGTTGATCTTTAGGAATCCCTCTAAATTATAGAGCAATTCTTCCATACCTTACTGCTCATTTTAAATTTATAACCCATCTGAAATTTATTTACTATGTGTGGTAAAAGGAAAATATGTAATTTGTGTTTTTCATATGGCTATCAGGTTTATACAAGACTGCTTATTGAAAAGCCCATCTTCATATCATTTTAGTGCTAAATTTCCATATTCAAATAGTCTCATTGGCTTATGTATCTCCTCCCTTTTTGTTATTTCTGAGACAGTGGAAAACAGGAGTATGTGGGATTGGGGAGCTAGCTCAGTGAGCAAAGCACTTGCCAGTGCAAGCATGAGGGCCTGGGTTAATCTCCAGACCCCCACAAAAGCTGGGTCTGCTCTGTAATCCAGTGCTCCCATGACAAGACGGGAGGTCAAGACAGGACAATCCCCAGAAGCTCACAGGACAGCTAATCTGGTATAACAGCCACAAACAATAGACAAGATGGAAGACGAAGTTGTCCTCTGACCTCCACTGCACACAACATATACACAGAAACACAAAAAAATAAATTATATTAGAAAACAGGAGTATAGGACATGCACACACCCACACGTATACATGAACACACATACACATGTGCACACACACACATGCAAAGAAATTAAATTAGAAAAGGAGTATGTGGTACAATAAACTCTTGTAGACCTAAAATCCTTTATGTAAATAGTTTGATGTAGTACATTTGTTTACATGTGATAAAGTCACTCTTTTGCACATAGGGAAAGAAATGTGAGTCCGTCAGAGTAAAGGCATAAAAATAGAATTGTCTGAACTCTTTGTGTAAAGCCTGGAGAAGCACCCTGATAAAATCAGTGTGTACAATCATGCATTGAGGTCAGAGCCCTGCCCCTCAGTAGCTATTCTGTTATCAGTAAGTCTATTTCTCCTCATCTAGTTTCCTCACTTCTAAATGGTGATAATACATTCCATGTTGTGAGCATAAGATCTCGTGCTATCACTTAGGATAGTGCCTGCACATAAAGGCTCTAGTGAGGATCAGTGCTGCTCGCTCTCTCCCCGGGAAACATGTGTCCTTGATTTTCACTATTTGAGATTTCCTCAGCTGCTCATGAAACTAAGAATTACCACAGTGAGTCTCACTTTGCAAAGCTGGCTAACTGAAAGGAGCAGATGAGAAATTAAGTTTCTTCACTCTCCATTACCCGGAGCTGTTGTTGCCCCTTGCAGGATGGTGGCTGTCCTAGGCTCTGTTTCTAGCATGATGCAGGAAGGGTGGGTTGACTAGCACCACCAACATTGTCGATTTCTGTGTAGCCTGTGTACGTCTAAAAGGAAGGGAGAATTCAGGAGGCTTGAAAGCAGGGATCTTGCTTTCTGCTTTCCAACTTAGAATTATTTTTAGCTTTTTACTTCAGAAGTAGTGCTATAATATTTAACATCCAGAAATTTCCAGAAAACTCTTCCCTTCATCCTGAGCGTGTCTCCCTACCCTAAAGTTGTTGAGTTCATTCCCTAGAAGGAAAAATCATAATCTGATAGTTTCTCCATCTAGAATGAAATGGACATAAGAAAATTTTCAGGCAAAACAAAATAATTATCTTTCAGGAGCCCCACATCTGATTTTCCCTAGGCTTATTCTAGATTGTAGTAAGTATTTAAAGATACAGGTTTTGAGAAAAAATTTTAAACCATTTTAGTTAGTTTATTTTCATGAGTTATTGAAACCCCATTCATTAGTCTAATCATTTCTTTCTTATTAATATAAAATGGCTGAAATTAGTTTATGCAATTCATCATTCAATGTTAAAACCCTGAAAAGTTGCCATTTGATCAGTTCTTACATAAAATTCATTACATTGTATACTATTTGAAGGTGTTTTCAAATACATTTTAACTTATTTTGTACAAAAGCATTGTAATATTCAGTATTGTTAATTACAGCTTATAGTTGAGGAGATAAAAACCTAAGAAATTTATTTTAAGAGTCCCAGGGTCTCTCAGCCAACCAGAGTTCTAGGCTTCAGATTTTTATTTCAAATCAAGTATTCTAGTCACAATTCTACAACTGCTCTGAATTCACCATCAGCAAGAGTGCTGGTTTAGATCTCCGTGCATATTTGTTCTTGCATGTTCAGAATTGTGTCGCATTTCCCTTTGACTAAATTTGCAGCATGGATTAAGTCACTTCATTTGCAACTTTCCTTGTATACTCTGTCAATCTTGCTTAATTTCCTGACTTTATATGATTAGCTAGGTAGTCATTTGATATGTTCTAATAAACACTAGTTAAATGTTATACTTTGTTAACTTGAAATCTCTTGAGAATCAGTCACATAATTTCTTAAGGCATAAAAGGCACACCATTAGTTAAGAGGAAGCCTAATGCTAAGGTCTGGTTTTATTTTCCAGGTGGCATTGCATGCTTGTGGAGTGGCAACAGACATGGTGATTGAGCACTGCATCAAAACACGGGCTTCTTTTGTCACATGCCCTTGCTGTTATGGTTTCATTCAGAACACTTCAAAGTTTAATTTCCCAAAAAGGTGAAGTTTAATATTTTCCCTAAGACAATAATATGGAGATGAGCCAGCATGCAAGACTTGTTTGATACACGGTTGCAATGGGATTTGCTTTTGAGGTAGTTTATTTTTATCACCGTTTGGCATGTATTGTTTGTTAGGAAGAAAGGATCTCTTTGTCCCTCCCTGCCTTTTCTTCCAGATCAAGTTAAAAGCAAGTCTGAAGAGGAGCCAGCCAAGAGTGCTGGCTTCAGTACTTCACTGTGTCATTCTAAATGTAATTAAAATCATCAGAAGCAGTGTTCAATCTAGAAATGCCCCACTTGGGTGCAGATACTGGCTGCTTATCATTTTATGAATTGTTTTACCTCAGACAAGTTACTCCTACTGTTTTCCTGTGATACCTCATATACAAAATGAGGTTGTAGTAGGAACGATCTCAAGGATCGGGGAGGCGGCGCATTTAATGATGATATATGTAGTACTTGGAAGTGGCAGAGAGGCCCAGTGCACCTCTGTAATCCTGGCACTTTTATAGCTGAGGTAGGAATATTGTCTCAAGTTCAAAGCCAACCTGGGCACAGAGTAAGACTGTCTTCAAAAAGCAAAAACAAAAAGAAGTGGTATAGAGTCAGTCCTCAACAAATGTGAATTGTTGCTAGTATTTAAATAGTATCCATAGGGTCAGTGAAATGGCCCAGTGGATAAAGGTGCCTGCCACTAAGCCTGACAACCTGAATTTGCTCCCCAGAACACACGTGGTAGTACTCTCACATCCACACATGCGCCATGGCATGCCTGCCCACACACATAAACCTGCATGCATACAAAATAAATAAATCCAAATGTAATTTTAAAATTTAAGCAAATAGTAAATAGGCCTATGGGTGTCAATTACATTTAACAGCAATTTTTATAATCTTTCTTTTCCCACAGAGAAAAGGGAGAAATTTTAGTTCTCATCACTTTAACTTATTAGGGGACCACCATCTTGATGTTCCTGACATTTCACTCTGATTCATAGTTACTGAGAATCAGAATGACCATTTTAATTAGGAAATAGCTAAATACATCAGTTTTGGAGCATCTGCCCTAGTCAGAAAAGCTGTTTAGGATACAAAATCAATTGTATCATTATTTTTAAAAACCTTAGAAAATTTTCATTAGTTACTTAAAGCATTCTGGGTAAGTAATATAATATGAAAAAAATCCATCTTTTTCTTTTACTGTTTTTCTCTTCACACAATTCACAAGTTGAGACAAAACCAAAGGAAGCATTGAAAAATAGGCAGATAGATGATGGGTGGATGGATGGATGGATGGATGGATGATAGATAAATGTGTATATAAAATTTGAGGCTTATTCAACAGTTCAATTCTGATAAAATATATAACAACCCATTAAAATTGTAAGTCTAACAATATAAAGATTCTTAAAAATATTAATTTGACTTGTTCACCTGTATACTCCAACTGAACTGATTTTTAAAAACCTCAATTTCCTGTCAACATTTTCATAACTCTGTAGCTTTACTATTATTTTATTCCCCTGTCCTTGGAACTAACATCTTTAGAAAGTTTATTTCTTTGTATATGAGACCTATCCAATTCATGAAAGATTGAGGTATAAATTTATAAATAGCCTATTGTTTCTAAAATATATTAAACAAGTACTCATTTTCTAAAAAATGAATACTAATGAAGTTGGCATAATATATACAGGCATGCTTTTATTAATGACTTAATGAAGAGTGGGGTCTACAGCATTATGAAAAGACTGCTTATGGAATACATGTTTGTCTTTAACAGCTGTGATAGCATTGATTTTTATACTTATTGTGGGTCTCTTCCCTTGTGGGTTGTTGGCCACCGATTCACGAGGACAAAGGGAGCAGAGGCGGCAAGCAGGGTCAGGATGGCCGTGAGTATGATGGAAGAAACCTTCCGGGAGTCAGCTTCAGTGAGACAGCTTGTTTATTCAGGGGGTCGGGGGAAAATATAGGGTGAAGACAGCGGCCAAAGCTTCACCTGATAGGTGTTCATAGTATGCTTTATTTGCATGTGGTAGGAGGACCCTATCATGTAGAAAGGGGAGATGGGATTGACTGGCTGTAGTGCAATGCCTAATTATCACACAGGAAAAAACCTACAGGCAGCTCTTGCAGGTAACTATGTCAAAGGTCATGTTCCAAATAAGGCCAGGCATCTGTGCTTTTAGACACTTTCCAAATAAGGTCAGGCAGAGAGTAGGAAGCCCCTGCTGAGAAAGGGAGTCCTCCATTTTGCACCAAGCTCGGGGAGCTATCTGGACATGATAGACTGTGACCTTAAAGGGCAGGGTCCCCCCAACATCTCCCCCTATTTTGTTTTAAAATGGAGAGGCGTCATCACAAGCTTTAAGAGCCAATTCATCCATATCAGGAGAATCCAAAGTCTGATAATGGACCATGACCTGATTGGTAGTAATTTGTCAACGAAGAAATTGTATGAAACAGGGAGCAAGCATCAAAACACACAGCATAATCAGGGGGCTAACAGAGGGTAAGAGCCAGGAAAATAAGTGGTTACTAAACCAACTTAATTGTTCGGTGGGCTGAAATCTTGAAAGCAGGTCATTACGAAGTTTTTTGAGAGTATTAACATTAGCCATGACAATATTTGACTCATTTACAAAAAAGCAGCATTCTTTTCCCAATACTATACAAGTCCCCCCGTGTTCAGCAGTTATTAGGTCTAGTGCTTTTCTGTTTTGGAGCACAACCCCGGCAAGAGAGTTCATCTGTCGTTGGAGAGACTCAAGGCTGTCAGTCATGGATGCCATTGCCTGGTTGAGCTTGTCTCTAAAATTTCCTGCCAGGTGATGGGTCTGTACAATGGCAGCAGTCGCAGCACCTCTGGCACCCAGGGAGAGGGCAAGTCCAAGCCCCACTAGCAGGGGGATGAAGATTTCTCTCCGTGGGTGGGTGTGAAGGAGGAGGGCATCCTCTCCTTTGAACAGGTATACCTGGGGGTTAATCATTACAGGTATGCAGAAGGTAGACAAAGAGGAGTTAATACAGGGCTGGGTGTTTCCTTTGCACCACAGAAAAAAAGGAAGGGCGATGTGTGCTGTCCTGGAAAGGGTAACATTAGTGAGGCATTTGTAATGAGTAGGCTTATTTTACTGGAAACACAAATTGGATAGTTGGACAGTTGTTCAAATAAGGGAGTATCTGACAGGTGAGAGTCTGAAATTTTTTGTTGTCTCGGGGTAAAGAAGGGTGGTATTAACTGGTACTGCTGTCAGGAAGGGCCTACTGCCAAACACACAAAAGAAACAGAGGCATTAGGGTGGGTGGTGAAGGGAAGGAAGTCAGCAATGTATTGAATATATTGGCTCCAAGACATTGTCGGTCTTACCTGCTCCTCTGTTTTTCACGTAGAATCATGTTATGATGAGTTAGCACGGGCTTAGCTGCGGGTACAAGTTGTCGAGAGATATGAAAATCAGCAGTAGGGTAGCTACAGGATGTGCCTGGGTAGAACTTTCCCATCACCCCAACACACCAACGATCGTGCCAAGGATCTGCAACATATATTAGGGAATAGTCATGGTATCCATAGAGATACTTATTATCTTTTAGGTACATGGGTCTTTCCTGTCCTGTTATGCCCTGATATCCCCCAGTCAATCCCAGTTCCAACCTACAGAGATTGAAATAGTGGCAGCCCCCATCAGTATCAAATTTCTTGAGGCATGATGGATCTGTTTGTCAGAAAGGAAAGCAAACATATTCATCAGTTTTGTATCCACTAGCATTTGGGTATATTATGATTTCTATGGGTTTTTGACATCCCATTAGTAGGCAACCTTTGGTTCCGATTATTTGATTTTTCCCTTGATATGTTTCCCTGACAAAATCTCCAGAGCATAGTATTGGGGTGGGGTGGGGGGGAATTGGCCAAAACGTCAGTGCAAAGTAGGGTAAAAACGGCCATGAGAATGACAGAAAAGGAAGCTGGGGCGGGGGGCAGCTGTGGTGGGCAGTAGCCACCAGATCATGAATCTCTTTCCATGTGATCCGGTTGTGTGGTCTTGGGTGTTGTCTCCTCTTCTTTTTCGTTGTCTCTGACATGGTCATACGAGCCATCTTTTTTGTGGGCAGGGAGGTGTCAGACATTTCTGGCTGGAACCCAGATAGGCTTTGGTTGATCCTGTAGAAAAACAAACAAATCCTCTCCCTGTGGTCAGCAATGGATCTGATCCTTTCCAGATTCCATCGAGGGGGTCCCTATTTAACCATGATAGGTGGTATGGGGTGTGTCTTGGCCCAGTGTCGAGCAATAGGGGAGGCATCAGAGCCTCAATATACATTGAATACATTAAAGGTAAACAAGACTAATGCTAATTGAATGTTGGGAGAATACATTGTTTGGGCCTGTCTTTGTAGTTGGTCTTTTAAGGCTTTATGTGACCTTTCCACAGTGGCTTGTCCTTGTGGGTTATATGGGATGCCAGTGTGATGGGAGATTTTCCAGGCCTCACAAAATTTTTTTAAATAGAGAGCTGGTAAATGCTGGGCCATTGTCTGTCTTTAGTTGTGAGGGGAGGCCCTTGATAGCAAAAGATTCTCATCTTGTGATTTATTAGATTTTTTGAACTTTCACCAGTTTGGGCAGTAGCCCAAAGGAAGTGGAAGTACGTGCCTACAGTTACAAATACATAATATGTCTATGGAATTGGGGGACATGGGTTACATCAATTTGCCAGAGGGCGTTAGATTTTAGCGCCCAAGGATTAGTGCCCATTTGTTGTATAGCAGGGGTACGCATCATTGATGCACAGGCATTTAACCATGATGGGTGGTACTGGGTGTGTTTGAGCCCAGTGTTTGGTGATGAGAGGAGCATCTGTCCCTCTATATACATTAAGTACATTAAGGGTAAACAAGGCTAATGTTAATTGAATATTGGGAGAATATGTTGTTTTAGCCTGTCTTTTTAATTGGTCCTTTAAGGTTTTATGTGACCTTTCCACAATTTCTCGTGTGTGTGGGTTATATGGGATGCCAGTGTGATGGGAGATTTTCCAGGCCTCACAAAATTTTTTTAAATAGAGAGCTGGTAAATGCTGGGCCATTGTCTGTCTTTAGTTGTGAGGGGAGGCCCTTGATAGCAAAAGATTCTCATCTTGTGATTTATTAGATTTTTTGAACTTTCACCAGTTTGGGCAGTAGCCCGAGGAAATGGGAGTATGTGTCTACAGTTATGAATATGTACTTTTGTCTACTGAATTGGGGTTACATCAATTTTCTAGAGGGTGTTAGATTTTAGCCCCCGGGGGTTGGTGCCCATCTGTTGTATAGTGGGGGTATGTATCATTGATGCACAGGAAGAGCAGCTTTTAACAATGCGTTTAAGTTGTTTGAGGGGAATGTGGGGGAATCTGAGATGGAGCCCTCATAAATTAACATGAGTGGCATGGTGGAGGTGCTGGGTGTCCATTACACTGGCGGGGAATGTTCCAGTGGTGGCTACCTCATCTGCTGTGGCATTTCCTTCAGCAAGAGGACCTGGGAGGGGGGAGTGGGACCTGATATGTTTGAAAAATAACGGAGCCACCCATTTTTGTAGTAGTGTAGAAATTTTAATTAGCAGGGGTGAGATGGGGTTGCCATCTATTTTGACAAAGGAGCGACCTAGCCATGGAAGTAAATTAACAGCGTAAATGCTGTCAGAATAAAGGTTGAAGAGTTCATCAATTTTATCAAGGGCCATATAGATTGCAAAGAGCTCTTTACATTGTGGGGATTTATGAGGCAGGGGCTGAAAATGCATCATAGGGGGGTCATTGGGGAAGTCATATACAACCAATGCCATCCCCTTTTTCCCCCCATCCGTAAAGGCTGTTGTAGTATTTTTTGTAGGTTTTTGGCAAAAGAGCCAAGGCGGAAGCCAGCAAAGCACTGGAATAACTGACAGCCATTTATCTTTGGGCTAGTGATTATCAATCTGTCCTGGGAAGCCTATTAAGCTAATTGAAAAAGAAGAATGATGTTTTAAGAGCCATTGCACATCTGATAACGGGAAGGGGATAATGAGGGTATCAGGTTCTTTTCCTATAATCTGTAGGGTTTCTATCCCTTCCTTGACAAATCATGGATGCAAGGGTGTCTATTTCTGTAAAAAAACAAGGGGTCCCCCTACAGGCATGTGAAGCCATTCTAGTATTCATTGTGGCTTATAAATTGCTCCCACCATGGTGGGGGAGGAGTTAAAAATTAAGAGCTGAACCGGCACCTTGGGGTCATATCTGGCCAGTGTTGCATTTTGGAAATGGTTATTGATAATTTGGAGAGTCTTTCTGGCATCTGCATTCAGATACTGTCTGGAGGATGGATTTCTGTCTCCCTTTAGGAAGTCAAAGAGTGGCCGTAATTGTCTTGTGGGGATGGGAAGCCAGAGCCTTAGCCAATTAATACTGCCTAATAAGCTCTGAAGGGAATTAAGGGTAAGGAGATGAGGAGTATCCAGGATAGGTTTAAGGGCCCTAACAGTAGTAAGCGTTATTTCAGTCCCCAGGAAGGTAATGGGGAACCAATTGTATCTTGTTTGTGGATATCATAAAACCTCTTGTCTCTAGGGTGTTTATCATAGAATCTCTCAGGTCCTCCAGAGAGGAATCCTTGTCTTGCCAGACCAAGAGGTCATCCATGTAATGTTAAACATGTAGGCCTTTTCTCAGAAGGCGTGCCAGTGCTTTTACAATGGCCTCCTGGCATAGTGTAGGGCTGTTTGTCATACCCTGTGGCAGAACTCGCCATTCATATCAATCAGCTGGCCCAGAATTGTTAATCTTTGGAACTGAGAAGGCAAAATGTTGGCAATCATTATTATGTAAACGGATGGAGAAGAAGCAGTCTTTTATATCTAGGACTAATGGGAGTATTAAGGGGGATGGCAGAGATCATGGTCAGGCCTCTTTAGGGTGGTCCCCATATTTTCATGGTTTTGTTTATGGCTCTGAGGTCTTGTAGCAGTCGCCATGCCCCTGTCTTTTTCTTTATTACAAAGACTGGGGTGTTCCATGGGCTCCTAGAGGGCCTAATGTGACCCAGCTGTAACTGTTCTTTTACGAGTTGTTGTAAAATGATTAATTTCTCCCTGGGTAATGGGCACTGCCCTACCCAGACTGGTTCTTTGGTGATCCAGTCGAGGCAGGGAGTCTGGTAATCAACAGTGGCCATTAGGATTGGGGTTTTTTTTGTTCTAGGAACCTCATATAATCATCTATTTGAAGGCACTCCCCTTCAGATCCACTGGCAAGAACTACATTGAGGTCTTCCAGGATATTTTGTCCTATGAGATTTGTGGCTATATCTGCAATCAGGGGTCTTATTGTGCCAACCTCTCCATCAGGGTCCTCCCATTTATAGAAGTCTTTGGTGATGAATGCTCACAAGGGGCCTCCTACTCCCATCAGTTGAGGTCCCAGTATTAACTCCTAGCGTGGGGGAACCTCGGAGTGTCTTAAGATGGATTTATCATCCCGGGTGTTGAGGAGGCATTTGAAAGGTTTATTGTATATTTTTATGGTTAATTTTGAATGGGTGTTTTCTGTAATGTTGGTTACCCACAATCTTTGTGGCTTCCCTCTTGTTAGTGGGGCTGAGGGTTGCCTCGGGAGGTGTTTAAAGGTGGCAAAGGTTTGCCATCTTTGTCAAATTTAGATTTACAATCTTTTTTTCCAGTGAAAACCCTTTTTACAGTGAGGGCAGAGGGATTTAGGGGGTCGAAGAGCAGTCGAATCATTTTTTGGGCAATTTTCTTTCCAGTGCCTAGTTTCCCCACATTTAACACATCTTGGTTTGGATCAGGTTGTGGCTACAAAGGCCTGGGCAAGAGAGAAGGACTGTTATGAGGTGGTCCCCATGATCCTTTTGTCATAATGTTCATTTTTTAGTACCTGGCATGCTTGTCTGTGTTCAGGGGTCATCCCTTTCCAGATGAGGTTGTTTAGAAGCATTGCTTTGGCTGTGGGTCTGTTATTTTTCTGTCTAAACTGGCCTGTACTCTTAGTATAAAATCTGGGAGGGTTTCAGTTGGTTTTTGTTTTAGAAAGGTCAATGGAGAGGTCTCTCCAGGCCCTGTGGACAAGAGGGTTAGGCGGTCCCAGGCTTGGAGTGTACATAAGCGGACCTGTTCAGAACAGCTGGCAGGGATCATGGCCTGTTGGATTCCTGTGGAAAAATTGCCCTGACCAAACACTTGGTCATAATTCCAATTTATGAATCCAAGTGGTGGATCTTGCCCTTGTTTGTGGTCCTAATTGTTGATTATGTATGTCATTCTCTATAGCCTTCATCAGGCATCCATCTCTAAACAAAGCCTTCCATTGTACAAATAACAGACTGGGGAGCATGGATTGACAGATATCTCTCCAGTCCTGGGGCGTTAGGAGGTTGTTATTGAAAGTTTGTAATATAGATTGGTTCCATGGAGCATGGATCCCGTCCTCACAGATGGCCTGGCATAGTTCTTTTAATTCTTCTGCTGGGAGGGGATACCAAGCCAGCGGACGTTGTCTTGTTACTTGTAGGTTAATGGAGAAGGCCCCTACCAGTGAGGTTTTTGGGTCCTGAGGCCATTGTGTCTAAGGATATTGGGGGCAATAGCTCCCATTATTCCTGAGATTACAGGGCTGTTCAGTGGCTGGGGGTGGGGTGCCATAGATGGTGGCACTGAGGGGGAGGGCGGAGGAGGATTTATCTTTGGAATTTTTCTAAACCTGGGTTTTAACATCCAGGCCTTTGTCTTACTCAGTCCATGAGGATTTTTAGGGCAGAAGAGGAGGGTAAAGGGGGGAAGGGTTCTTTTTGTCAATGGGTAGTTTTTGTCTCTTGGGTAGGTTTCCTAAGCATTGTCAGATGGCAGCTATGATGGTCCCATGTGAAGACTCAGACCAAAAGTAAAAGGGGGAAAGGAGGGGCTGCCAATCCTCAGGGTGGGATGACCAAGGCAAAAATGCCGCTACCCTCATAGAAGGGGTATTCACAAACTCCACACATTCCAGGAGCCCCACGTTGGGCGCCAGCTGTGGGTCTCTCTTCCCTTGTGGGTCGTTGGCCACTGATCTGCAAGGACAAAGAGAGCAGAGGCAGCGAGCAGGGTCAGGACGGCTGTGAGTTCGACGGAAAAAACCTTCTGGGAGTCAGCTTCAGTGAGACAGCTCGTTTATTCAGGGGGTCGGGGGAAAACATAGGGTAAAAACAGTGGCCAAAGCTTCACCTAATAGGTGTTTATAGTATGCTTTATTTGCATGTGGTAGGGGGACCCTATCATGTAGAAAGGGAAGGTGGGATGGAGTGGCTGTAGTGCAATGCCTAATTATCATACAGGAAAAAACCTAGGGGCAGTTCTTGCACGTGACTATGCCAAAGGTCATGTTCCAAATAAGGCCAGGCATCTGTGCTTGGAGACACTTTCCAAA